CTCTCTCTCTCTCTCTCTCTCTCTCTCTCTCTCTCTCTCTCTCTCTCTCTCTCTCTCACACACACACACACACACACACACACACACACACACACACACACAAAGTTGAAGGGGAAAGGGGCGATGGCGCTGCTTCCCACGCAATACCGTTCCCCCCAGTTCCCGCCTGCGTGTGTGTGAGTGTACGCGCACAAAAAGGGTCGTCGGGTATGAGAGCAATTTCTGACAACCGGCAGTTCGGTATACCAACAAGTTTGCCAGTCCAAGAATTGGAGGTCTGAGGGCTTACTCACACTAGCACTTCCAGGATGTATATGACCGCTTTTCCGACCAGGCCTGGATGCACGAGAACGCAATTGCGTCCAGAGAGAAGCGTAAAAAGTCCTGGTGTGGTTAGTATGCCCTGAGATCGGGTACAACCATAAGATGGTACAGCCGAAAGTTGAACGGGTCCCGGGCTCTCTCGGGGTACAGGCAACCCCCGTCTTTAAAGTGGGTACAGATGCAAAATTTTCCCTTTTTTTTTTTCACTGCAATCCAAAAAGGGGGGGAACGGAGGCGAGGACCCACTCACAAGGGATTCTTCACTCCTGGCCACTGCACTTTTCTGAAACAGCTCCCTATCTATCTTCACACCCATACCTACTACCTCCTTCCTTCTCCTCTCTCTCCCTCCTTCCTCCCTCCTTCCTTCTCCATCCCACACACTGCACTGTTCCGAACAGCTCAATACCCATACCTAACCTCCTTCCTTCTCCTCCCTCTCCCTCCTTCCTTCTTCCTTCTCCTCCCTCCTCCTTCCTTCTCCTCCTCCTCCTTTCTCCTCCCCTTCCTCCCTCCTCTTTCCTTCTCCTCCCTATTCCTCCCTCCTCCTCCCTCCTCCTCCTCCCTCCTCCTCCTCCCTCATCCTCCTCTCCATTCTGACCTCTATATCCGCAAAGCTCGGCTCGAGTTTTACTCGCTTTGTCTGCCACTGCCCATACCTCGTCCTCTTCCTCCTCCCTTCTCCTCCTCCTTCCAGCTCCTTCTCCTCATCGTCGTCCTCCTCCTCCCTCCACGTCCTTCCTCCTCCTCATCCATCCTAATTCTCTGTGTTGTCTTCAACGAGGAGTTCTCCATATCTCTTTGCTAGACACTCGCGGTGGCTCCCGCCAGATTCAGTCCACAAGGTCCTACAGTAAGCGCGGTCGTACGAAATACTCATAGGAGGACTTTCTGGATGCATATGATCGGGAATGCGGTCAAAAACAGTTCAGAAAGTCCTGCTAGTGTGAATTCGGCCTCAATATCCAAACCTGCTTGATCTCAGGGGGCATTCCCCTCTTTTTCCTCCTCTAACGAGATGCCAAGGGCGATAAACGCCCCACTGCTGGACTGATCTCATCTGCTCCTGCTGCTGCTGCTACTACTTTTGCTGCTTTTAAATTTACATTAACACTCTGTTCCATGTCCTCCTCCTCCCCCTCCTCCTCCCCCTGCTCCATTTGGTCCTCTCTGGACAAGGATGGGTGGTCCGCACAAAGGACCGCATACAGGCCCCGAAGCCCGACTACCCACTGTGTGTCGTGCTTCGATGTGTGTTTGTGTGTGTGTGTGTGTTTTAGATTTTCCCCACAACAGCCCCGATTCCACCCAGGTGAATAGATTCAGAATCAAAGCAGTCTTTTTCCTATTGCAGACAACGACAGCATTTGAGATGTCCAACATATTAAAGCAATTCTATAATTAGACAATTTCTTGGTTGTCCTTGGGGTACCCCTTTCATTGTTCTTGCAGCTCCCCTTTTACTGTGCCTCTTACGCACAAGGCTGCCCACGTTGATTGTGGTTGAGCGGCAGCTGCCCACATCCCCGTGTGCCTCCACTTGCACGTTATTTTCAGGAGGCAGAGTAAAAGGGAAGGTATGCTCCTGTGCATCTCTTCAGAGCTTCATACTCCTGTTCATTTCACTTCAGATCTTCAGCTTATACAGTCTTTGTGTCCGTCCTTCATCTTCCTACTTCCGTTCATTTCATTTCTGATCTTCATATCGTCTATACTCTTAACGATGCTCATTCGTATGTATGTGTTAGTAGTACAAGGGGAGTGGAGGGGAGGGTGGAGGGTAAGGGGTAGAAGGCGGAGTTCTCTAGGAGTATGGGGCAGGTGTGTGTGTGTGTGTGTGTGTGTGTGTGTGTGTGTGTGTGTGTGTGTGTGTGTGTGTGTGTGTGTGTTCTCGAACTGCTTGCGAAGGATTTCCCATAACAAATCAGACAATAGAGAAAGAGACCACGACCAGTGTCTACCGGCCACATCGACGGCACGACGTATGCAGAGCCGTTCCTTCAGCGCAGCACAGCCGAGACATAAGAAAGTATGACGAGCCCCCCTAGTGAGCCCCCACTTGGGGTAGCCGTATGCCGCTAGGACCTTGACGGAAGTACATACTATTAGTATATAGTACTGAGCCTCTGGATATCCATTTGCCTCTGGATGGCCTATCATCATCGGATGTCTCTGGATAGCCATGTGCAAAGAAGAAAGATTAGATAGATCATACTCCCTGCAAAGATTAGATAGATAGATCACACTGCCTGATGATATTCTGCGCTACCGTCTTCACCTGAATAGAACGCCGGGTAATTATCGCTGTATCTGGACTGGAAGTTGCCCCAAAAACACAGCTATAATGACCGGGCGTTCTATTCAGGTGAAGACGGAAGCCAAGCACGAACTGAATCTGCCTCACAGATAGAGAATAGCATTCGGTATCCAGCAGGTATCACAGCACCTAAGATCCTGACGACCCCTAACTCACCGAGTTAGGAGGGTACATTTGGGACTTCAGGTGTGTTTGGGGGGGGTCATATGGGACTTCAGGTGTGTTACAGGGGTCCATATGGACTTACAGTAGGTTCTCGACATGTGCTCTCTCGACGTGTGCTGCTAAGTACGTCGGTAATCAACGTAAATATAAATACAGAGAAGATGCTGTTGCTTCGTGCCTTCCTTGCCACGTCACGTCTGGTCTGGTCTGGTCTGGTCTGATCTGGTATCCCACCTACACCTCGCGTTCACGAACTCCCCGTTCAACTTCGGACCACGACACACCAGTCTCGAAATGTGAAGAACAAAAATGTGGCGGGTGCATCTGGCCACGTTCTCGCGGGAAGTTCATTCTCATTTTTCACATTTCCAGAGCGGTGTGAAGATGCCCTTCATCTTGGAGACAGTCGAAGATCCTTCAAGAAGTGCAGAAGGAAGTGCGGTGTTTCTCCGGA